TAGATATAATTGTATATAATATGAACACATGAAACTTAATATTGCTGTGCTCGGTAGAACGTCGCAGAATGTTGAAAAGTTACAAAAACCACGGCGATTTCCATCGGACATATTAAAATGTCAATGTCATTAGGGGAAAAACAAGCCATGGAATTGACCTCGTCGCGGCTTATCGTGTAGAAAAAAAGAAGAAATAAGTACCGTACGCAAGTCTTTGTATAGAAACAGTCGCATCTTTTTTGCCAATCAAATTTTACGAGCGATTGCATCTCGACGATAGCTTCCACGTCATGCGCAAACGCATATCTGAAAAAGTATATGTAGAATAATGTCTGCGTGAATGTCTTCCGCCGCGCTTAAACTGCGGAGAATTCATGTGCGTGGACGTAAATGGTTAAGACAATGACACGTGAGTTTTTTTTTTTTTTTTTGATTAATTTTTCACGATCTTACGACATTATGGCACTAATCGCGGCTCGCTGCAGGGTGCTCGTCGCAGGCGACGTCCGAAAAGGAAAATAATAAGCGCGCGCGCCCGAACGAGCCACGTTTTACCTGTCACGTTTTTTTTTATCTACAAATTTGCGGTATTGATTCGAATGCATTATCCTACTAGAGCCGTGCGAAACAGTATTCGATACCGGCGTGTCGATACGCGAAGTCGGCCCAAATATGCAATATCGTTACGTCGAGACAATTGATCGCAAGATTGGTTCTACCGTTGCGCCAAGACTGTACGAATTCGAACGTAAGGTCTGCAACGGGTCAGACGGTATTGTGCATTGAATATACGCGTTTTGAATACAACTCTCGCGCGAGCTTCGATATCGATTTTCCGACATTACGAGCCGAATAATAACACCTATTTCGCAGCTGCGATTGAACTTGAACCGATTTCGCCGTTTCGTCGGGGCGAGATATATATGTATACTGTCTCGCGTAGCCTTATTATCTACCACGATCGACATATTCAACGTTACATGCGGTGACGTGTTTCTTCTTCCTCTTTTACATTACGGGAATATCATGACCTTCGTACACGCTACTATTTACAAATCATCGTGCTATCTAGAGAGACTGACAAAATGGGCAATCGCCGAGAGAATAAGTAATAAGTAACATTCTCGTACCCATCGTTGAATTTGGGGCGGACAAAAATATTGATCGAGTGTTGAGTCGCTTTAGAAACGGTTTGTATTAGTACGGAGTGACGTCGAGAAGTCGCTGAAACTATATAGCTGTTATTTTGCAATATGATTAGAACAGAATGAAATAAATTAAATGTTGTACTGTAAAAGAAAAAATAATTTTTGTTAGAATGTAGTACAAAAAAAATATACACATGTGCGAATTTACAAAAATTAATATATAAGAAGCTCAACAATTCGACTAATTGTAATAATCGAGACCTTTTTAGACACTTAAGTACATTAATTTTTAATATTAATAATTGTAAATGTGCCTTTGAATATTTCCAAATAAATTTCTTTTGTAAAAATAAAATTTTCACTTATGCTGAAAGCTTTTGAACATGTATTACTGAGACATGCAATCAGCGAAATTTTCAACTCTTTTATAGTATTTGTTTTTTTTTATAAGTTCATTAAATGGATTACAAAACAGCAGCTATTTCAGCTAGTTTCAGCAATTTTCTCGATTCTTATCCACTGATTCACGCACATCGAGGGAATTTAACATTGACGGTATGCTCGAGAAACATATATTTATCACATATTTCACCACGAATATATCTCATCGACATCGAGCGTGCGTTATTCTCTCGCGCCCCTTTCGCTGCCTACGTAAATCTAATATTTGGTACTTTATATTCGGGTCTACACTGGCCGCTTGAATCAGGAGTTCGTCGTCAACGTACACACATCTCACATATATACGTCGTACAGCAGCACCAATCGTTACAGGCAGCACCAATCGTTAACAAATCTAAACACTGCGATTAAGAACGTTCTTGTTACAGCCGGACTTCGCTGTTCTGCCTCGTTTTTGATTGATGTCAAAAACCTATATAAATTAACGAAATTAAATATCGAGCTGTGTATTTACAGAAAAAAAATTCTTAGATTCATAACGAATATAAATTTTAAGACTCATAAATAATATAAATTTTCAATCTAATACCATAATATAATATCAGATATAAAGATAAATCAGATAAATGCCTTCACGTGCGACTATAATTATTCGCAATTAAATTGATTTAAGTAACTTTCGCTAAAGCATATTAACCGGTATGAAAATCAATAATCAATCAAAGATATAATAGCTCTATCTAAAACAGAGAATTCATTTACGTAAACATAACTTGGACACTGTAAAAAAAAAGAGACGATCATCCAATTCGAGATATGCGCATCTTCTCGGTGTCAATTTGTCTGGTCGACTAATCATTTAATTAATTATTTATCTAAACGTCTAATTTTTACTGTTTGTGCGCACTGTGAGTAATTTATAATGTAGGAACCATTCGAGATCGGTGGTTAAACTTGCCTCGAGGTGACTAAACTGTGATTTTTTACGTGTTTACATTTCGTGCGATTCAAATATATATTTTGCGCTCCGCTTTAGTTTCTTCTTTTTTTTGTGTGTTTTTCGGTGCTTCTGTCTATTTTTGTTCATCTGGACCAAATTCGTCCGAGTTTGAGCTACGTTTGAGCTAGACTAGTGTTCAAACCGGAAGTCGTTGTTTTCGAATTGACACTAGCCACGGAGTGAACATGACATTACGTCGTGCGACGATACGTGCTGTGCCTCGCACGGGCGATTCAATTGATTGAATTCAGGATCAATTCAATTAAAAAAAGGGGAAAAAAGTATAATAGGAATTACTTTGAAACAGGTACTCGCTGTGTATATAATACTATATCATTATAAATTATACTCGAAAATATTTCGCTGAGCTTCCTCTTGACTAGAGTCTGCGAACTTCGACAAAACGACTTATTAAATAACAAAATTCGTGTGCACTCAAGACTTAATCTTACAATTAAATACTTTGTATACTCACGCGAGCTTATTACGTGAGCGGCATTATTGATATGCTCGTTAAGCACTACGTAGCTCAAAAATTAATACGCTTTGTTCCGCAAAATATAAGAATACGTACGTTCTTTTAACAAAAATATAAATGCAAGTTATTAAATGGTACGTACAATGATCCGCGTACTAATTAACATTCTAATTACACTCATGAATCCCTATCAATCCTAGTACAAATTCTGCATTCTGTCAATTTCACAAGTGGGAGGTACACAAATGTGTGTGAGTATATATAGGAAATTATTATTATATATAATTATTGTCGGAAAAGTAAAATACTACAATTTTTACACGTGACGTAATCTGAATGCACATGAATTTTTTTTCACCTACAACGTACAACGATAAGAATCCCTCCGCAGAATTCGCAAGAAGGGGAACAATAATATTAAATACTGAACAGTAAGTCTCACTCTACAAAAAGCAGCGACTACGAGCCTAATCGCCCTCTTCGTCAAAAATTCACAGATTGCTTTACAAAACAACACATAGTTTATATTCGATCGTAGACACACCACTGTTCTTTCAAGTTACACGCAAATCTCGCACAGCTGTTCATTTTCTCTCGGACTGCAGTCAATTGTCTATCATGTTTTTATATTTCTTTCCACCGATTGTTCTTCCAGCTACAGCCTACAGTTCTCGTGATAAGTTTGCGAATAATTCCTATTTTAGTAACGCTTCTCGCATATTTTTATTCATCGGCATAATTAATTATCAGCTTAATTATATAATGATATATTATATAATTATATAATAATATATTACATAATGATATAATTAAGCTTGACTTGAAATTTTTACCATAATAAAATCAATTGAAAAATAAGATTTTGTTACGTGACTGAAGTCTATTTGTCAGAAATGCTCAACTTCCAACGCTAGCTATAATTTTAAAATTATAATTTTCGATGCCGATTAACACCCTTTTTTTATTTAAAAAAAAATTACTTTTTTTCGTAATTGGTCCTCTCTGGTACATGTAGTTAGAAGATCATCCGGTGACTTTGAATACATATATCCCCGCTCTCCCTATATACTAATCTCTATATTCTCATCGCACATTTATTAGCAAACGTGATCCTAATTTTCTGTCTCAAGTATGTGTTGTATCTTTTTAAATTGCACGTTGATAAAGTTTAGGATCACAGGCAGTTCAGTACTAAATGCGCAGCGAGAATTGAGTTTTCTGAAATAAACGCGTATTACATTTTGTCTCATAATACGTATTGTATTACTCTACGGCGTCCTCCGTACGCCTGCTCGAATTTTTCCTCCAATTTTTATGAATATCATAAAATTTCGTCCCCAAATGAATTCCGTCATGAAGTAAAGTGATCCCCCAGGGGTCCGTCGTGGCTATCCTCATAAAATCACCTCTCAATCCTCTTGTTTATTCATCCAAAAAAAGGAGTATATAGAAACGTTATTTTGGAAGATATTCGACAATTAGGCACACAGATTGCCCTTCTTGAAAAAATCCGCGCGCGATCCTCCTCGCGTGCAAGCGCATTCTCATTTAGACCTTGAAAGATTCCCCCGCCTCGCCGTTCACGTCTCTGCCCGCTTCGCGTCCACGTCTCGCGTCGCCGAGCAAAATAGCCGTCTCATAGTTCATTCGCGAAGCTTCCGTATCATCGTCGTAGCTTTTTCGAGCGCCGCCAAAAGCAGCACCGAGTGATGAAAAGTCGCGTGGCACCTTCGCCGACGAGAGACTTATTAATACCTTCTTCAGCGCGGCTCGAGTACCCGCGAAACGAGGTCGCGCGGGGTCACGCGTCTTTTCGCGGCCTCTTCGCGCCGGGATCTCGTTTCGAAACTTCGCGATCGGCCCAGCGGGTCCCTCGGGCGGTTCGCTTCGAGCAACTCACTCACGACGCGAGAGAGCACGATACACGTTCTCCGAGGCTTCCGGCCGCCTCTCGGGCTCAGGCAATGTTCTGTTTTTTTTTTCTTGGAAGAATCGGAATCGTTTGTAGAAATTGAGCAACGCGTGTGTCACGGGCGGACGCCCGCACGCCCGCGCGCACGCATCACGCACGCACGGATCTCCCCGTGGCCGCCGAAAGAGCCCTTTAAACGTATCCCCGGGGCGAGACTTGTCCTCCTCAGGTGTTCTGCGTGCGTGCGAGGTCGTGCTCCCGCCACGAGTTGGTCGTGCACACGCCCTCCCCTCGCCACCACTCGTTCACGTCTTTGTAATACTTGGGCGGACGGTCGTCGTGCAGCATCGCGCACATCCGGCACCAGAAGTACGTGTTGATGAACTCGCCGGTCCCCTTCCAGCGGAAGTACGAGTTGTACAGCTCGTCGTCGCGGTCCAGCCGATGCAGATACTCAGCGAGCTCCTTCGGCGACTCGAACTCGTCCACGTGGATGTAGGAACGGTATGGCGCGCTGTGCGCGTAATCCGTCGGATGGGCGCCCATCACGATAGGCAGGACGTTGTGCCTGCGGAAAAGCCAGGAGGGTAAACCAGATTACAAGAAGCGATAATAATTGCAGTCGCGAGGGATCGTGTCACGAATGGGGGGTCGCGCGTCGCCATCGCATATTTTGTCACGCTCACGAATTGAGGCTCGCGCGGTCCTCCGGAACGGAACTCGGAAGCTTAATTAATACCGCGCGCCGCGCGAGCAGCACGCGTTTCTGTCCATTACGCGAGTAAGGAAGATTAGGTAACGTGAGATTTGGCACGCGACCGCCTTATTCGCGAGACACCGCACCAGTTGGCAAAGGTTGCCGACCTCTGGGTGAAATGATCGAGTGCATTAGGTCGGAGCGGGACTTCACACTCGCTCCGCTCGCATTTGAAATACTCGCCGCGGCTCTCTGTATGGATTGTATGCGCTTAACGAGTGAGAGTGAGAGGAAAATACGGGAAGAGAGAGAGAAAGAGAAAGAGAAGGGGAGGGGAGGGAGAAAGCAATAAATATCATCGCACGTACCCGAGTCCATTAACGAAGAACTTCTCCGTGATGTAGTCTTTGCAGTTGGAATTCTCGAACGCGAGATAGAATTTGTAGTCCTCGTCGAGCATGTCGAAGCACGTTTGCGACTGCGAGCGCGGGCAGCGCAGGCTGCCGCACGCACCGTAAATGTCCACTTGGATGTATTTCGAGAGTTCCCTGGCATAATGCATGCGCTGATTTCGGGGATGGCAGTTGGAAACGAACCAAGCGACCTGATTAAACAGCGATGCAGAAAAGGGCGAGTGTCACGTGTGATAAACGTTGTTTACTATAAGCCGGCAAGAATAGCTAGCAACGACGCGCCCGAAGAGTAAACGCGTTTACCAAAACGGTTGAAATTTTAATGTGAAATTTTATTTTTACTCTAAGAAAAATGTGTTTTGATACTAGCAAAAAGGACATACAAAATGCTATTCTGATACCTAATCAGAATTCCTTTTATCATAATTGATTTTTTGATTGTCTCAATTAGAACGTTTGACAGATTTAACTAATTGTATCCAATTGTACCTTTCATTGCATCTATCAGATTTCCAGTTAATACAATCAGTATTAATCAATCAGTATTAATACAATCAGTATTAATACAATCACAGATAATTTTTCCAGTGTATTTCTTCCATTTTTATATACTCTATTTTGATTTAATTTGCATTTAAATCTAAACGTTTCTAATTTAATTTCTGTCTTTACAAAAGTATATATATAATTATTATACCATTATTTTAATTAAATATTGCAAATTACACAAAATGGTGAATAAAATATATATTTGTATTTATTGTAAAATAAGGATATTAATAAATGACAAATTTTTACTATATCTATATATTTCTATAGTTAAAATAATAGAATAATATAATAATAGTTAAAAATAATATACAATTATTAAGATTCGCGAATCTTTTTAATCATGTACATTAAATAATTTTATTTTATAATTTAACGTATTTTTTAATTTGCGCACTATTTACCGTGCTAACTCCCATAGCCTTTTCTTGAATTATTAGTTTGATTTAATCATTGAGAGTTCTAATAATATTATTTTTAACCATTATTTTATTATTTTAACTATAGAGAGTAAAAATGTCATTAAAAAAATTCGCGAATCTTAATAATTATACATTATTTTTAACTATTATTTTATTATTTTAACTATAGAAATATATAGATACAGTAAAAACTTGTTATTTATTAATACGCTTTATTTTACAACAAATACAAATATAATATACATTTTATTCATCATTTTGTGTGTGATTTGTAGACAATATAAATATTTATTAAGATCGTAAGATTGATCTAATCAATTATATTATAATCTTACCTTCTTCGTTTTGTTTGCTGCATAATTAAACGTTTGTGAGATCTGTGTGACACTGGAATCATAATACTGCCACCTTTCGTAGGGTGCCACTACGTCACTGTCACGCCGATACGTGGCGGTCCAATTGACAAGAGCGTTCTTTACGCTCTGCGTGTGATAAGGGCACTCTAAAAAATATAGCATCCACACCTGCCGAAAATCGTATATAAAAAGAATTTCATTAATAATAAATCCTCCCTTGCACGTGCGGCGGTAAGAAAAGCGAAAAGTTCAACCGTCGAGTAAAGGCGACCTGATTTTCTCGGGGTCAAAAAAATTAATATTGCTTATCACTGTATCCGATACCTGATTGTAAGATCTTCGTCCCACGTGCGTGATGTAATCCTTAAATAGAATGAGATCGGCGTCGTCCGGATTGTCACGAACGATCGTGCAAGTATTCACCGGGCAGCGTTGCTGGAAGAATATGTCAGGACCGACTTTGGCTTCGGCCATCCCGTGGGGGATCATTATCTTCTTCAATGGAACGGGCTCACCCGTTTTATTGTAATCGGGTGGCACAAACATTAGCTGCAAAAATTATTTATGACATTAATACATTTTGTCTGTACAGAATTGTTTAACTGATTGTAAGTTAAGTTAAAATTATTTAACTTTTTAACTTTTTAACTATCCAACCCTGGACAATTAGAAATATACTTATAAGCACATTCATAAATTTACTCGTTTTCGGCCATAAAATTTTATCTTGTATTATTTGTCTTTACAATTACGAGCCGTACTTACTTGGATTATTTGTATAAATGTATTTCGCTTTAAATAATTTATACTCAACAAGTATACTGAAATGAATCTCTTATAATTATATGTTCAACTCTTAAAATTTTAAAGCAAATTTTTAGTGTACATTATTCGACAGCATTGCGAAAACTAAACGAAATTCTTATTATTCTTTTAGAAATATATGATATAAATTAAGTTTATTTTTCATACAGTTAATTTGTTATGCCGATTACAAGATAAAAACGCGAGAATTCGAATTTTTTTCCAATATTCCATCGAGAAAAATTGAGAGATATAATTCAATTATATAATAGCCGAAATGCATCATATTCATGACTCAATAAAGTAAAATAAAAATAATTTTACACAATAACGTTTTTAATTTCGCTGATATTTTATTCTCTTGGATATTTTTGTTAAAATTAAGTTGCAATCAAATCATCGATCAAAATATCAGAGTGTAAAAATAAAGTGCAGAAACTTCCCAATACATTCGTGCCCAATATTCGTAAAAATCAATTGTAATTAACAATGTAGATAATCGAATATATACATATGTAACAATGTAGATAATCGAATATATACATATGTAACTATCAATTAAATCTTAAATGTACGTAATTCTGCAAATTCTTATGCAATTACCAGAATTACCTGATTAGTCACTCGATCATCGTAAGCATCTTCCTCCGGCCACAATTGAGCCAATCTTCGGCCAGTATTGCGAGTTCTTATCGCCGGATAAGGTCTTCTGGTTCCTCCTTTCATGTACCAAGGTCTCCGCGATAGATCCAGGTCTATCGAGTTTTCGCCCAAGCTCGCGGTTCCATTTATATTCAATGCCTTCGAATGAAAAGAAAATATATAAATAAATGAAAAAATCTTCATATATATGACATTGTCATTCTTTGCTGCAACTAAAAAGACAATATCGCGGACTATAGGTATAGATTTTGTTCTTAAACTAGAAGTTTATGAATAATAACGCATTCAACAAATTTCATAGTGGATGTATATAATAATATTTTTACAATAGTGAATCAATTATCTTTTCGCCATCTCTAATAGGTACTTAAATAATCGCACATATTACTTAGAATTAATCTAAAGTTATATAAATATGTATAATTCTTGAACATAATTTAATATGAATTAATTTTGCTTTCCTGAATTAATTCTTGAATATAATTTATATGTATTACTCTCTTATCATCAAATATCTATAGTTTATTAATTTAATTTTTTTCTTAATATATATATATATATATATATATATCACTTTTGGAATTAATTCTATTAGTAAATATAAAAATTCATGCGATTAGTTAAGTGACATCTCTTAGAGTTTTTGAGCATAATATTATGCATGAGCGAACACAGAAACTTTCTTCTCTGACATATTCACCACGCCACAAAATTAAAGGATCACCTGTTCTATTCTCTAAAAATAGACAAATTTCAAGATGGATTTTAACTTCGTCAAAAATAATCATAACGAGATTTTTTAAAAAACATTTTGCAGCTCGAAATCTCCACTTTTTAAATTGATACTTTAGAAACAACGACTAAATGATTTTTTTCGGAGTCGCATAGATACAAATGGAGATGTGACAAATCGCAAAATTTCTTCCGAACTTTGCAAAGTCCCATGGCGTGAAATAAAAATCGCACACAACCGTACATCAACTTGAAAAGTGAAGATTTCAAACTTTCTAAAAATCTCGTGATGATCATTTTAACAAAAGTTACTCTATCTTGAAATTTATCTATTTTTAGAAGATAGAACAAGTGATTCCTTAATTTTGTGTATTTTTATTGAATATTGTGACAAGAAAATGTTGAAACAAAATTTTCTCGTCTTAAACATGGATAATTATGGAAAAAATAAGTTAACGTACTGCAACAGGCAACTATAGACTATTAAGCCATTCTAATGCATATCACAGAAGAATTTCCATCTGTCATGATCTAAGGCATTATCCGTACAATTTTGCTATTACTTAAGCAATAGCTAGCAATATTTAGCAAAATGAACATTAAACAAGCTACGATGATATATTCCAAATCTTGCTAAAGCAATCTTGCTAAAGCATTGAGAAACAACGTTTTCTTTGCTTAAGATTTTCCTTAAGATTCGCAATCGCTGAGTGTCATAAAAATTATCATTCATATTTTATTCAGACTATTATAATTTTTTTTATTATACATTCTTAGCCGTAAATTATTATTTATACTATATTAGCTAGCGCTATGAAAGCCCAGTCGAAAAAGAGGAAGCCACTAAGTTCGAAAAGCAAGCATACGCACCGCACTTTTTTTAAGAACGCAAGAACAAGCAAGACGACACACGCAAAAAGTAACAGTGTCACAGGATTTCGTGGGAATAATCAGTATTATATAACACGTTTATGTACATCTATACATTGCTTGACGTATACTTTTAACAGGGAAATTTTTTGAATTAACACGTAACAAAGAATGCGAAAGACTTGTAAGCTTAGGTTTTGTTTCTTTTTTTGATATATTTTTCCGTATACATCGTCGTTTTGGGATTTACCAACACTACAATTGACCGTACCTCGGACGAAAGTTTTTTCCTCACTCGCTCCCGAGTGCGTAATACTCGCATCGTCGGCTTCTTCGATTTCAACGGCCAATCGGGTTTCATCTGCGAGCGAAATTCGTTTTTATTCCTTTAGCCGATTCATTTTGCAGCCTTCATGCAAATTTTTGCAAATTTTATTTATATCGTTTATACTTGTCACCTCCTTCTCTCTCTCTCTCTCTCTCTCTCTCTCTCTCTCTCTCTCTCTCTATCTATCTCTCTCTTTCTCTCTCTGTCTCTGTCTCTTCAATTTTATCAAAAACCGATAATATCTAGTATAAGTATATCTGACGTAGCAACAGTCGCAATAAATTATAATAATCTTGAAAGTCTAATTGGCGCTTATATACAAATATTATCTATGATAAGCGAAAAATATACATTAAGCTAATGCACTTTTACCTCATTTTCCGATCGACATGTCAATTAGTTACCGCGGTCAACAAAAATATTATGTTCGTACATATGGAGGTTCGTACATATTCTGTATTTTCTTCCAAAACAATATCGATCTGTAATTACAACTTTGATACTGCAGAAATAACTGCAGCTATGAATAAACGAACTATGAACTATACAGCAGGATATTTCACATCTCTCGCAGGAAAATATTGTAGTAAAAATTAATAAAATCAATAAAATTTTATCATGGAATATATCGACATTATGATAAAATTATTAAATAATTGTATTTTATATTTTATTAATATCAATTCGAGATATTTTTATTCAAAATAGTATGTACATTTCGTATTTTTCGAAAAAAATTGCTGTAATTCAAAACCTTTTTGTCCATAACACAATTTTAAATATATCTAAAAAATTATAACATTCGATTAGCAATGTTAGCGATGTTTGGAAAAACGCTTTTATTTAAAGAAGAATCGTTCGATTATTTTTTAAATAAACAAAGGACGAAAATAAATGTTTATTGTTGCAATTTCTATTAATATAATTAAAAGTATAATTAATGTTATATTATCTTTATTATATTTTAGATTTACAAAACATAAAGGTAGATATTGTAAAAAGAGGTACACTTTTTACGTAATTTACTATTTTCTCCGTGTATTATCAGATAATGATAGTCGCATCGATTAATCTGGGATAATTAATAATTTAGCACGTACCTTCGGCGCGTCGCCGGTAACCCGAACGGACTGCGGCTGGCCGGGATGTGGCCGCATGCTGTGCCATATCTCGTCCTCTCGCAGGAGATTCAGCAGAACGAGCAACGTGCCCGTCAAACATAGCACGTAGAAAAAGTATCTCTTCAGGGAGAAACGCGGCAAACCCATACCGCCCGGTTCCCTAAGTCGGGCAAGATCCTTATCTAGCCATGCGTCACTTCACTCCACAACATTCGGCTACGCTGTAACGAGAGTCAATCAATAATGAAATACCGATCGATCTTTGTGCAAATAATCTGGAAAGAACACAAACACACAAACACACACAAACACACACACACACACACACACACACACACACACACACACACACATAGAAGATGCAATACAAATTGAAAGATAATTTGCGAATGATAAATTGCTGACGATGACACTGAAATCTGTCAAGTTAATTCAACTTTTTGTCTCTCTTATTAATATCCTTTTCTTCTCTAAAAAATATTCGAAAGTTTTTTCACATGAAATAAAGAACAGTTTCGATTAACGTGATAAAAAATATATGGATGCTCACTTAAAAATGCAATTGCATTTTGCACGCGAGCATATAAATCTAGGAAATAGCGTATACATAATAAAATGCACAATAAAAGTACAAGTACAGGAAGATAAAATTCAGCATTTTATTTTACAATGTTTTGTATTGTATATTCGTTTTCCGAAATATGATATCTTCCATTTCCGTGCATAGAATGCATATATGGAAGATATATGCGTATATAAATCCTAAACTATTACCTCATCTCACGTTAGCTTTTTGTTACGTGACATGATTTAACTTTAAAAATAATTCATCTAAGCAGAGCGCCCCGAAAACTTAAATGCGATTCTCTTTACAGTTATGACGAACATCACGCGGAATTTCATTCAAATTAATTAATTTAATGTAGTGTAAATAATTATAATACGTAAGACAAGTTTATTAAAATTCAAAAAATTATGATTAGCATAATATAATTATCATATCAATTATGTAAATCGAAGTAATTCACGGAAGGAAATCACATAAGTTTTGACTTGATACAATCGATTCAATAATCTATTATAATAATCACACAAATTATTTTTTTTTATACATGCAACACGCGCGCAGGCACTCTTGCACGCGCGCGATACGTTATCCAAGAGCACAGGCCAAATTCGATAAGATTGCCTAACCTTGTTAATTTCCGGAACACTGCTAACTGTACATTTTGTAATTACGCAACGTAATAATCGTCGCTCTTGAGAACCTTAATCACTGCATGAGATGATTCATTACTGTACCATAAACTTTTTAAGCACTTGGCACTGATCCTCATCAGCGGATGAGGCATTACGAGATGAAACGTTATATACAATTACTTTCCGACGAGCGTAAAATGCTTTGAATTACGATCATCGGCTGTACGCGACATTATTAAAAAAAAAGAGAGAGATTTCCCGTTGTAAATTAGCGTTGAAACACTGACGGATGTTTCTCGCTGTGGAAGATACGACGGCGATTCGATAAAATTTAATTGGACGCTTCCGAAGGGCGCCGAAAGCACGTGCCCGTGAATTTCACGCGACGCAGAAACGTTCTTGCGAGATTTATCGATAACTCGCTCATCCCTTCATTCGTTAGTCCCGAAGAGCTGCTCCGGCTTGAAACGCGATGACATTAAATTAAATTTCATTTCGCGAGATAGCAGCGAGAGAGATCCCGGCTATCCCCGGCTGCATCGTCGCACGCCCACGTATAATCGATACGGCACGCGAGCATTGATTCGCGTTCAAATAAACAACGCGCACGATACATACATATAGCGTATACTCGACCAATATTTATATGCGCTGGCAATCTACTATTATAATTTCCCGTCATTAGCAATCGCTTCGTGCAAGGCACAAATATCGTCAAATGATATGATATTTATATGAATCAGTTATGCTCCCGTCAATCATTCCCAAACACCGTCTTCGCCTCACGAGAAGAATTAACGTGTACATTTTTTTACACGGCTCGCATTACGACACGTGTTACACTTGAGTTACGATATGACACGGTTGACCTTATTACCGTGTCTCTTATGTAACAATCCCTTGATTTGCGAGTATCTCTTTTCCCTTCCTTTCATTAATTTCACGTCGACCTTCCGTGATCCACGCAAAGGACATGGCTCAACGATTCAGTTCGATTCATCGCGCAGTCGTGACACTCGCCATCCGCGATCGAAAGAATCCTTTCTTCTGCTCGAATTCACGAAGAACCACGTTCGCGCGTTCGCGAAAATGTTAGAGACAATTAAGTATATCGCGACCTGGAGCTTTTCGGTATAATACTCACTCGCAAACACGACACGTCGGATGCAAAATGTCGGATACATCTAACACGCACTCGTGCGAAAGAAGAAGACGCGAAATGTCCTGGAAAACGAAGCATCTCAGTTCCCAGAACGCTCTTTCAGGACTCTCGTCCGAACCGAGCCCACAACCGTTCGCTCGACTGCTAAACGAATGATCCTGCCGGCTCGCGAAAAGGTGAACGACGGATTCGCTGCGTTGCAACACGCTCTTGCGGTTCTACCTTTGAACCACGATAAAGTTCACGTTCACTGGAACAGTGAGCGCTATATACACGTGTAAACCCGAGAAGTATGAAAGGAACGCGAAAAGTTTTAGTTTATCGCGACTAACGCATAGATATTTTAATGTCCACGCGTATCTCTATATAAATAACTGATAAAAAAAATTAATATAATTGATAAAGAATTTATCGCAGGATGACTCAAGTAAAAGAAAGTAATTTGCTCTCATAAGCGGTAACAAAAACTTTCATTCTTAAGATTTTAGCATTTATTAAATATAATATATTTAAGGTAAAATAAAAGAAAAAAATTTAACAATATCGTTCAGAGATGGTATAAAAAAATATCGATTATGTGAGTGTATTCTTTAATTTTATATAGTAATGAAAATAAAAATAAGTCGATATAAATAATGTGACTGAGAGATATACAAGTAAACCTTTTTAATAATTAAGTACTAATATTGTGTGTTACATCGATATCGTCAGATCGATCTAATTTGTAATGTATTCTTGATTTTACGAAAAAAAAGATTATCTGTAACACGAGAAACCGAACTTACATATATATAATTTATAGATACATATACTGTAAAAAAAAGTATGTAAAATGACATGAACAACATGTAAAATATGTGAAACTTATATATATATAATATATATATAAGTAATATATATAATATATATATAAACTATATATATATAAACTTATAAATGTATAGATATAATATATACAATTTTACAATATTCTTTTGTGCACAGTTTCAATTTTGGAAGCACATAATTGTACTGTATAATTCATTAAATTAAAGTTTGAATAAATTAAATTTTTATTCGTTATATCTTTGTAATTTCTTTTATCATCTGTATATAAAGAATATACCTTAAATATATTTGATTTGATAATATTGGAATTTAGTGACGTAATAACAATAATATAGATATTTGCTCAATGCCGTAAAACTGAAGGTTCTTCAATCCTTGTGGTATAAAAATAGAAATGTATACATACAGTGCCGATATGCAGTTTCGAAATTAATTCATAAAGAGCGCTCTCACTTCCTACCATTCTCATAATAAATCCGGTGGACATTATCCCCTTTTTAGTATTTTATATATAAAGAACGCCCACACACATCTGTGACGCGGAATTGCTGAATATTTTCCGATTCTCGAGAGGATGGCTCTCAACTGCACCAGTAAATTGAAAGCGTAAATAATACTTTTACATTCTTCTCCGTCGGGAGCCGTACTGCATTAAGATTGCGTCTCCATCAACTGAATTGCAGCCACGTAACTTTTAAACATTAACGTCGCGCTCTAATCCATCGGAGCCGATTGATACGTAATCGACGCACACACATTTTGACAATTCTTAAGCCCATGGCACATAGAAAAACGTAAAGCAGTAAGGCGTAAGCAATAAGTGAATTCACCAATCACAGTAGAGAAAGTAAGATTATTGCCTTACGTTTTCTACTGTGAGTTGGCCGATTTCATTACTGCTTACGTCTTACTGCTTTACGTTTTTCTACGTGCCATGGACTTTACATCTCACGTCGCAAAAGCGATCGTTCTCTCTCTCTCTCTCTCTCTCTCTCTCTCTCTCTCTCTTCTGGAGTATCACCTGAGTGTCACTTAAAAACCTTATCCGTATGACACAATTTTTCACGAACAGTTTATTAAATGGCGTTTCTTTTTCTGAACACCTTTTCTCAATTGACGTGAACCTTCAATTTCTACACTTCGAGTTAACGAGAAACGGGACTTGGACTACTCGATGAGATGGAATGTCACCTTTTTTGTGCGTGAACATCCCGCACCCGGAATCTTCCAGCTTCGCGTTCACTTATATGCTCTTTTCACACAATAGTGTTAAATAACAGTGTTAACCTTATACAGGTATATATAACTCGCACGCCCAGCCGCGTTGCCGCAAATGTGCGCACAGGCGGACCGTTCGAATATCACTATCCGGGATGCCGAGCGTGTTGCATCGCTATCTTATCACTCGCCTTTGTAGGTAATAGACTTGCCCACATATTGGAATTGTAAATCTATATATTAACTTCTACTGACACTTTGCTGCGCTCACTCGCTTTTTCCCCCAATTGGAAAACTGTGCTCTTTATACTCCCGGTCACAAAAAGGTCAGGGCTTCCCAAGCTATAAGAAATCTTCGGGTGGAGATATATAAACCTTTTCTAGTGGAGAGGGAATTGTCAGAGGCACCACTAGGAAGGATTTGAAACGGCGGGAATAACTAAACGCTTGGGATTGTAGGAAAAATTAATCCCGAGACATATTTGCCGTTATACAGTATTTTATTCGGGACCGGCTGAATTACACCACCTTACGCCATTGCTCTCCGCAATACTCTGTCTTACACAGATCGCGACCTACTTTTTATAAAAATGACAAACATGCGCGATCCACCTACTTTCAGTAAATATGTATAGAAAAAGCAGGGAAAGAAATAAATAATTTATTTACACCATTTTATTTATATCACAGTACCTACTTTTAATTTTTTATTGAATAAAATTTTATAAATCTATTTCTCAGATAATAAGGTATACGTAAGGAATTGTCCTTGTTCTTTATTTCTGTAATGAGTTTTGACATCGACATCGATGC